CGCCGCCCGGGGCGGCCTGCGCGCAGCGCGGCTGTCAGCGCGGCCTGCAGCGCCGGAGCCCCCGCCCGCAGCTGCGGGCGCCTTCCTAAACCCCCGCGCTCACTGCAGCGGCCCCAGCACGCGGGCTGAGACAAACGCTTGTTTTTATATATTTGGCTTTCATGCCTGCTGCATCCTACTGGCTGCGTCCATCGAGATCCATAGAGCGCCCTTCCCGATCCTTAGTGCTGCTCCCGGGAGCGTGCGCGGGAACATCAGTGTGTTGGCAGGGCTGGCGCAGCCTGCCCCTACACTAGGGAAAGGGGCCCCAATGTCCTCTGAGCAACAAAATAGCAATCACATGCAAGACTGATTTAGACAGTAAAACTCGTTGATCTTGCTCCCAATAAGTAGTAGTATTTCCTTGTAGTAATGCAGGAAGAGGAAAGATGCATTTCTGTGCATAACTTCATTAGTGATTAAAAGTAATATATTTATTATGGAAATGCTTAGCATGATCACAATGCTTGACAGCACAAGCCTGTCCAGTTATTATAGGGCAAGGTTATTTCTAAAGTGAAAAGAAGTGTATTTACATCATATAGTTTGTGTTCATCTCTAATTTCTGATAGTCAAGTCATGGAGAGAAAAAAAAAAAAAAGAATACTAACAGAACTTAAAACTTGTGTTCCAATATAGAAGTTTGCATATTTTCATGTTCTTATTTAGGCAGATCTTGCTAGCATCTGTTTTCTTTATGAAGCTTATGTCATATGAGCAGTCTTGTAAGCATAGCGTGTTATGTGTTAACTCTGTGTTTTCTGACTCTTCGAGGTTTCAGACCAGAAGCCACTAGGTTGTTGGTCCGTTAAACATGGACAAATGATCACGTGTCCCGTTGTGTGCAACTTTGAAACTCATGAATATATTGCTGTTCATGACGACAAGGTGAGATTGTTTATTTGTTGTTTTTAAAAAAAAAAGTGTGAGTCTTCTGCGCGAATGTAGATAAAAAAGTTGTTGGTGGTTCCTTTGGTGTTTTAATGTTGCAGCTTTAGCTTCTTATACTGCCCTTGCATCTGTTTTCACTGAAATTACGAAAACTTCCCTTGCATCTGTTTTCACTGAAATTACTGTGAATGTCTTCGTATTTTCTTCCTGTGTTGTATAGTAACATGTAATCACTGGTATTTTTTGTAATGCAAAGTTTATGTACTTCTTCGCTTATCAAACAATTCTTCTTTTTAAGGTTTTAAGAATATGGAGGGATGAAGATGTTAACTTAGACAAAGTATTTAAAGCAACAGTGAGTATCTTAATTTATATTCATTTTTATGCTAACGTTTTGAATCTTGGGAGAAGGAGAGGATTAATTTTCATAGTACTACTAGCATTAAGCTTTGGCTGATTGTTTTGTTAACTTGGCCTTCTTCATGCTCTGGAGTACTGCAAGGAATGCACTTGAAGTGGGTGACTATCATGCAAGCATTGCACTTGGTTAATATTCTGTTAGCATTTGGGTAGTTTGGTTAGTATCGTTTCTAAGGATTTTCTTTAAAGAATCCTCAGCTATGTTTTGTCTGAAGTATTTCAGAAATATGGTGCTTATTAGGGGCTTTTCCTTATCTGGTAGTGACTTGCATTATTCTATAACATTCCAAAAATAGCACCTGCTAGAAATCGTGCAAGTTCCCTCTTCCCTATACTTATTTACTCAGAGAATTTATAAGGAAAACATGCAGAACACTCAGCTTTCAAGGTAATGTACTGAAGAACATAATTCCTTTTTTCCTTTTTTTCCCCTCTCTACAGCTTTCAGCTGATGTATACAGGATACATTCTCTACCCCATGGGGAGCCATTGGTACTATTCAAAGGAGGTGGCGTTCGAACTTTAGATGTCCTTCTGGAAGCTCCACAACAAGAAATTGAAAACTTTATCTCAGATGAAGTAATTAAGTAAGTAATACTACTTTAAGAAGCTGGGTTTTTTGATGAAAGGAATTGGTGATGATGCAGACTGACCCTTTTTGAGGGATGAGGGATCCAGAGACCAAAATGGGTTGAATTATTTTGAATGCATCAGTTTTAATATCTTAGTCACAGAGAGGAAAACAAGAGGCTGCCTAAGTAATAATGGCCTGACTCTGGGTTCAGACATGGAATTCAAAAGATGATTATGCTGCTTTCTGTTTTAGGTGGAGTGAAGCTTTTCTGGAAGGAGAAGAACCTATCTTAATTTTTGCTACTGAGAAAGTGAGTTTAAAAAAAAAAAATAAAAGCTTTAATAGCAGCACATGCAAGTGTTTTCCTGAAAAAACATCACTTGTTTCATTGTAAAATCATTATCCTGTATTTGTTTCTGATATAACTGTTAAATTGAAGTTTAGTTGAGCCTGGTTCTTACAATTGCAGCAAACAGTTGAGATTAAATGTAATATGCAGTTATGTAACTTTTTTTGCTAAAATGCTTGCTAATTATAAAGAACTTATTAATAGCATTTATGTAAACAACCTTCAAATGTTTAAAATTAATTCATGAATCTCATTCAGTGCTTCCTCCCTATGAAACCATTTCTTGCATGAGCTAAGAATTCTCTTTACTTACACAAATCTACAAATTTTCTGGAACTATGCTGTACAGCCTGAAGTAAACATTTACTTTCATAATTTTGCTTTACATTCAGAATATAGCATAACTAATATCTTAATATCGTTTTCCCTATTACTACTTCTCTTCGTAAATGAAAGGCAAAATTGCGTTTTTTGTTGTCGTTTGTTCTAGGATGGGCATTATTTTATCTACATACAGAAATTTAAGCTGAATATTCTACACAAATATAAGCTTGAACAACAGGAATCATTTAATCCACTGAGTTTTACAGCATATATAAAAAATCAGATCATCACACTTCTATGTTTGTGTAAGTTGTACTTTGTAATGGGATGTAAGTAAAACAAGGAACTGTAGGAAAAGACAGGGAAAATGTGTTAATGTTTGTGAGTTACTGCTTTTAAATTTTGTAAAATAATTAGTGGGGGAAGCAATTGCATCTTTCTAGTCCTTTTTTAATGGCTGCAAATGCTTACTGTTCTTAAACTTTGACTTGTACCTCAAAGATCCTGTGTAGCAATGCTACTGCGCTTCTGCTTTGCATCATGACATCTTAGATTTCTTTGTATTTCAGCTCTGATTTTGGGTATACTTTTGCTGTATGTTATCACTAGTTTTGTCACAATGACAGATCATAAAAAATGTTGTCTCTGTTCTTTGACAGTTTCCAATGACTCAATCTATAAAGTTCTGATACCTCTGCAGCAGCATGGTGAAGAGGAAGAGCAAATTTTGTCAAAGTCACTATTGCTCAAACTTTCAGTATCCGGGAGTGTTTTAAAGGGAACTTCCTTTGCTGTTCTCGATAAAGACCATGTTGCAGTATTAGGAAGTCTAACAGCAGTTGGTGAAGAATCTAAAGGTAACTGGAAAATAACTACATTAAGATGTCTTTAACTTCCAAAATACTGTTCTTAGATAAAATGATTATATAAGTTACAAAGCAGAAAAAAATGTTGATTTAAATGTTGCTTTTTGAGTCAAGTATTGGCTGGCTCTTGAAACTAATGCACTCAGTTGAGGTGTGTAGTTGAAAACACTATTCTCTAGGTTGTGTTTCACTAACTGGTACAGTGGGTTGCAAGACTAAGCTCCCCATGGTGTTGTCACTGTTTGCTTTCATGCTGTCTGTGCAAACCGTTAAGAAGCAGTGAAGAGAACTTGTGGTAGGGGGAGGCAGCATTACGTCCCGTGAAAGATCAGGGCCTCAAAACAGTGAAACAAACCTCAGTCTTGTGCCTCGAGGTCTGAAGAACTGCTGGGCCACTGAAATTTAAGCCACTGAATGTAGTTTACTGTTTTAAAACAAAATGTTCTTCCAGACAGGTTAGGTGATAGATTTAGCAAAACTGATAGATGGATAGCTGAAGTTGGCCAACCTTAAAATGCTGTTAGAGTTTTGTAGGTAAGTTAGCAGGCAGCACAGACTTGCTGTATGGGCTGCTATCTCTGTTATCACTGCTTCTTGTTCAAAACTTGCTTAAAAACTAACTACTTTTTAAATACTTTTGTTGAGAGTGCTAACCAGAATGTTGAATACATTACGAAACTGAGCTTTTTTTTTTCTCTCTCTCCTTTGAAGTAGGTGGAAACTTATTTCTTCAAGTCTTTAACTGAAAATAGCAAAGAAAAAAAGTAGTATTTGTATTGCTTTTGAATTTGTAATATCGATCTCTTGTTTTCTGTAGAGTGCCTAACAATATGGAATACTAAATTTCAAACACTGCAGACTTCAAAAGAACTGCCCCTGGGAACCAGTGGACAAGTGAGCTCTGTCTTTAATTTGTGGTTCGTAAGCTTCCATCTGATGCATTTGGCCTGACAGAAGTGAAAAGAGACAGATGACCTCTTTTTCCTATGTGTGTGTATGTGAAAGAACAGTAAATGTCAAGTTCTGAAACAAAATCAATAATAATGGCCAGCTGACCTTTTTTTATTTTTCGTATGGATGCTAACCATAAGCATGGTGACCTCTGGTAACCTCTTTGATACTTTGGCATCTTCTCACTTGTGGTGGTCTTGATTATTTGGTGATAATTAAATAGATGCAGACTATTTTTTTCATTTAATTAGCTATTGTGCTCAGGCCATTTGCAAATGAGTGCCTAAATAATCCCAGCAAGTCCCTAAATTGTGCTCCAAGATCTTCCGGTGTCAACTGATGAGTAAACTGACACCCAAGTGATTAAATGCATCAGGGAAGAACATCTGACTTATACAAAAGGGTAGGAGAGGAGGGATGCAGGGGAGCTGAATGCTGTTTGCATGTTCATCTTAATGGTGCCAGACTTGCTGGTAACTCACAAATTAAGATTATCTAGGGGAATTTATTCCCCAGAGCAGCTACTGTACATCAAGATATCACTGGAAAGTATTAAACAGTAGGCTGTTTTCTGAATTTAAAAATGACATGTAATGGAGGTGTGCTAGCAATTATTAAACCCATACAACAGTAATCATTTGATCAGTGAGAAGACTTAATTGAATTTTGTAGTAAGGAGTTAAATGTCACCTTGTGCAGAAAATTCCTTCCCTGCTACACTCTTCATTAACAATCTGTTTAATATTTTGTAGCTGTGGTGTTATGGGGAAAAATTTTTTTGTACTCATGGAAAAGTGCTAACAGTGATTATATACAAGTGTGAAACTTCATCCTTGGCAGCTGCTGTGGGAAAGCTCAAAGACAGTCAAACCTCTGGTAAGATCTTTCTGAAATTACACTGCAGAGATCTCAGCCTTTAAAAAAATGCATTAAAGATGTTATTTTAATAGAGTTCTATTAAATCAGTGAGCCGTAAGCAGCTTGAAGTAACTTAACAGCGTTGAAGAGCATCTAACAGGCCAGAGTTGTAAATTTGTAAACTTAAGTTTAAATTGTACTTTAACAGTTTGTGTGCTTTAATGTTGCACTGAAAAATGTTGCAAGTAGTGTTCAAAATCAATATATAGCAGCAGGTTTATTTCCCCCGACTCCCCTTAAGAGATTTTATGAGAAGACAGTGTATAAAGAGGATCATAAAGCTATTTGCTGCTGAAATGAAACAAATTGATATTTTTAGCCAAAAAAAGGGCATGGATTATAATTGCGAAAATACGTATTGCTATTAGAAGTTGATGTGTTAAGTGTTTATGCAGTTTCACTTTTGTGTTCACAGATGTGTCATATTTAAACTGGAATAACCTTAGTGATGAAGAGCTGGTGGTTTCGCTTCAGTCACAGCAATCTGTAACTCTAAAATCTGAATCCAAAATGACTGTAAGTTAAACGTGGGAGTAAGTGAGGTTTCTGGTTTGTTTCTGTCCTTTCTCTCATGCTGCTATTTGTTTTTACATACTGTAGCAAAAGGGAACTTAACTTTTTACTTGTCACTGAGTGCTTCTAACATTGCTTCTGGGATTGGACAATCCAGCTGCTGAATGCAATTGCTGCAAAAAGTTGATGTGTGATCTTCCTAGTTGTCTTGCCTGAAATCTGAATATACAGCAGTTTTGTTTTTTGTTCTCTTTTTTTGACCCAAATGATAACTACTTGTGTTTCTTTATTGTAGCTAAGATCAAGGAGGAGTAGTATTGCTAAAGTCCCACCAGATACATTAACAGTTGGGCAGCTACTATTAGATATAAAAGTAAGTAAACAAAGCTGAGCTGCTTTTAATTTATTTATGGATAAAATCAAGATATGAATTTATGAATAAGATCAGGATGAAGATAAACCTTAAATTCTTGTAAGATTTGGTTGTTTTGTTTGTTTGTTTGTTTTGCTTTTGTTTCAGGAAATGTACCCTACTCTAGATGAACTTTGCTTGTTTTTTAGCAAATCAGATAAGTTAGTCTACTACTTATTATCAAACTCAGGTCAATATAAATTGGGTCCCAGGATGCTGGGACTGATACTCCATCTTTAAATAAACTGAATAATTTGTCAGAATTGGTAATGGCATAGTCTGGTGTAGTTCCCCTTCAAAGCTGGCTGCAAGTGTTGTGATACTTTAAGTGATATCCAGTCTTATTTGAAACATCCCTGCATTCCACTTTAGGTGGAGATCTTGATAATGTTACTGAAGTTAATAGAGTAATCAGTAACAACTGAACTGTACTACTTATTCCCACGTTCAGAGGGCATAATTACTCTGCTGTTACTGCTAGCTCATTCGTGATGGTGGTAGGATACCTAAACACATATTAGTGAGTAGTTTTATTTCTTTGTCTTGAATACTGAAATAATTCTTTCTACTTCGGTCTAACTAGAAGGTTTGAGAGTTGTGCTCCTGCCGTGTATTGCCCTTGAGTTGCATGATACCTCTTGTTTTCAGGATTCTTCTTCAGCTGCAGTTGAAGAGGAATTGAAACAATTGCTGTCGAAAGCACAGATGCCAGATGTCCAAGCTACCATTGGATGTATAATACCTGCTCTTATAAACAGATGTAAAACAGATCCAATGTTCTACCCTCAAAACTTCCTGGTACAGTTGATACAAAAACGAGAGCTTTCTTACAGGTGATACTTCTCATCATAGTCTTTTTTTTTTAAAAAAAAAAAAAAAAAAAAAAAGCACTTTGAATTATTGGAAGATGCTTATATTCAATTCCTGCTCAGGTATTTCTGAGGTGGAATTGAAGGCTTTGTGTGTGTAAAAGTAATTCATCTATATTATTTGCTAGTTTAGTTTTACTAGGAGTATAGGTAACTTACCTTATTCATGCAGCTTATGCCCGGACTTAATGGCTGTTGCTTTGGAGAGAAAAGATATGCATCTCTTACAAATCTGCCTACAATGCTTCCCAGATATTCCTGAAGAAATGACTTATGCTTGCTTGAAATTATTTTTAAGGTAAGTTGGTTTCAGAGTGGGGTGTTTTTTTTTTTTTTTCATTTGATTGGTTGGGTTTCACCAAACTAAGTCCTTTTACTAAAACCTGTTATGCCAAGAATGGCTTTAATTTGCATAGACAAGTTATTTATTGTGCATGAAACAGAATTCTAAGTACAGTGAATGCTGTAGTCCTGTATACTGCATGCATAGCTATTTTGTAAAGAACATTCTAGTAATTTAAACATTTTCAGGTGTAAGGAAATGAGTATGCCTTTTGATAACACCACTGGCTAAAGTAGCATTTGCCTCCTTTCAGGTGTGTTGTTAATAAGGAATTTACCTAGAGTAAGAAACCCATAAGAAAGATTAACTCAAGTTCATTTTGATGTCTGCCCAAATGAATGAAGCTTTAGGTAGTTAGAGCCTCTAGCACTGTGGATCCTCTGGACTTCAGGCACACAAAAGATTTCCCTCTTCCCCTTCCTAAATACCAAATCTTCTTCATATTGTTAATATAACTACGGTTCTCATGAAATTTGACTTTGTCTTAAGGATTAAACTGTCCTATTAATGTCAGAGCACAGCAGCAATCTTACATGTTCCGTAACCTTGAAATAAACCTATGAATGTCTAATCATACAGTAATTTGTACTGTTGGAGTACATGAAAAGAGGCATGTATTGCTCAAGGTTAATAATTACAAAATATTAAGTGTTCTCTCAAGGTTTTGATCCTCTCTGCAAGATAATACTTTTTAGTACATATTTCCACTCTTATGGTATGCGCAACGGAGTTAATACTGTCTTATTGCTGTTTTAAAATCTAATAATAAAACTATTAAATGTCTGAATTTTCTTCTACAGCATTAGTGATGACTATCTTGAAAGATCAGATGTGAATATGGACTCTGTAATCTGTTATATTGATATTGAATCCAACAATAAAGGAGTTAAGAATGAAATAGTAGAGAATGGTTTCAATACTGAACTGGAAGAGGACAGCCGTGATACTACATTGACAAAGGAAACCCTTTTGAAGAATGATGGTGAATTCTGCCCTGTTGGACCACAAAAGGCTGCATTATTGTATCCTCTGTATTAGTTCATTATTTACAAAGTGAATGTTTACTCCTAGCATTGTTAACTGACATTTTTTGTTATCATTTGAATATATATTTGAGTATAACTGTTAGCCAGAAGTTCTCCTGTTTTTAAGAGAAGTTTGCATTCAGTAGAAGTCACTTCAAATATAAATGATTAACTTCTAGAAAGTGTTTGCACCAGTTAAAGCTTCTATATTTTTACAAAACTATACCTAAACCTTTCCCTAAGAAAAAAACTGCATCAATAATTGAAGAAATACATATTAGCAATTACCTGCTTGAGTTAAATACAATTCTATTTAAGATGGTTGTTACTGCAGTGTTTTGATGGCTGCATATATTTCCTGATAGAGATGCAAGTGAAAGCTGAAATGGGATCTCCCTCTTCAGTTATATTTGAATTCAGTTTGTTTGTATAAACTTGGATTTTCCTTGCAAATATTTCCTCAATACTGCACAGAAATGCTGTTCTGCGTTCAGCTTACAGCGAAACATTTCTTCTGCCTCATCTGAAAGACCTTCCAGCTCAGCAAGCTGTGGTAAGCATTTTTAAATTAAAAATTCTAAATAATTTTTGGAGGGAGGACATGGAAGAGAGAGATGCATCAGAAACTTCATCCTATTACAATAAATTCATTTTCATGCATTATTCTAAGATGATTAATAAGATTAAATGCTATTAAGTGCTATGTTTTTCTAGGTACATACAGAACTTTGCTGTTCTTTTACTGGTCTTTGCTTATAGAAGATGTAAGGAAGAAACTGTATGTTTATGATCCAGTCCAATTAAATAGTGTTCATTTTAGTAATAGTTTTAACACCTTTGGCTTTGTATATTTTTTAAGAAAGTGGTGAGACATGCGAATTTGATCAGTTGCATCAAAATCACAAGTTGGGGAGGGGGGGTGGGGAAGGGAAGTAAACTGTACACTAAAATACCAAATGTAAAATAAATCAAGCTTAAACTTTGAGCTGCACGTACTGATATTCTGTAAATGTACCTGAGCTTATCTACAGTGTATAGTGTTCTAAAACTATATCAGAACAAAGCTAGTCTTAACACTCACCCATCTCCTTAATCCTTCTTTTGGAGGGAGAAGAAGTCTTTATGACTTATGCTGAGGACGAGACAATGTTGACTGGTTCTGAATACCATCAATTTCTTGTTGGCTACTGCTGCTGAAATTGGAACTAAAGCTGTTACTGCTGATAAAATTTTTAGCACAGTCCTTAGGAAACATCTTTTTACACTTTGAATATCTGAGAGTTTTAAAACTCCAAGCTGAGATGGGGAGCCATACTATGTATTTTTAATGCATCGTGTACAGGCATCTTTTTTTTCTTCTTTTTAAAAAAAAAAAAAAAAAAAAGCTTGAGCATCAAGTATTGTTGTGTATGGGAGAAAACTCAAAGGTCTTACATGTGTGTTCTTGTAACATGTAATCTCTTTGCCTCTCATTGACACTTTCTCCCCCCCACCTTTTTTTCCTCTTGAAGCTCTTTCTCAGGTATTTGTATTACCTGTATGTGAAAAGCAGTGAAAAAATTAATACCACTCTTCCTGGTGTGCTTTCTCCAACTATAAATCAGGTAAAATGCACGTTCTAAGAGTTGCACATCCTTCAGTTTTTGTACTTTGTAACTGAGTGAAATCAAAATCAGAGATTTGTATTCATTGTCTAAGGTATTGCCTAAAAATGGTCTTAAAGTGGGGAATGATGCATTCTGCTAGAAGTTAACACTATAGAGTCCGTTTTCAAATCAAAAGTTGAGTGTCATTTGCATAATAACATATATGGGTGCTTTTTTGTTTTCTTCAGATCATGGATTGGATGTGCCTGTTACTTGATGCTCACTTTACAGTTATGGTAATGCTACCAGAAGCAAAAGGACTTCTTTCCAGCCTGCATAAGTTTGTGAGAGCCCAAGTAAGCTACACCTGAATACTGAACTCATTTTAGCATGGATTTAGAACATGGGAGTTAAGGATGTATGTTATAAAAATTCAATACATAATAAATCAAATTATGCATGTTCACCTCTATATGCTCCTTTGTGAGCATCAAATGGCAATTGCCTTTTGACCTTCAAAGTTGCTCTATTGGCCTACTTAGAATATGTCTGGAATTATATAGAGCCACAGGGAGTTGCACAATATTATTATGTATGAAGTGAACCAAGTTAAACTGTATTTTATTATAAACGTCTGCTTTTTCTTCTTTTTAGGTACGCTTCTACTCTGAACTCAACAAGATTGAAGGAAGTTTGCAAGAGTTGCAAAGACTTAAACACCAGAAAGACTCTCAGGCATATTCTATTGAAGTGCTGGAACTTATTTGAATTTGAAATGAATTATTAACATTTTTTATTGATTCCTTTTATGACAAGGATGTATTAGCACTCCATATTGGGGATGTGAAAATATTAATTTTCTACATAGGGAGAGCATGGTTACTCTGTAGCTACAGGCAGAGTTAAAAATTTAATGAATTAAAAGCTCTTTTTCCATGGGATGAGACACTGGACACTTTCTTGCATTTTTTTCATATATAATTTTGATATGGGATCACAGGAATATCCTAAAATGCCACATGATCCTTAGTGAATGGATTATGTAATGGTAAGATAATTGCAGTAAGACTTAAACAACTTCTTCAATGACTTACCTTCATCAAAGACTTAAACTTCATCAAATGAATTGGCTGTTTTATTCTGCGAGAACTGTTCAACAGTATAAAGCTACTACTTCAGTTTTTCTTGCACTTCTCTAATTCTGGACTTGGAGTACAGTAGCAGTTGGATCTGTTAAGCCCAGCTGCACATTAATGTTTCCTAAATGTTAATCTCTTCCATGGAAGGCAAGTCTGTCTTTTCCAAAAGGCAGTGTAGACAGAACAGATATTAAAATGTTAGATGAAGAGAGAAGCTCTTTTCATCAGTAAATGGAAAATAGCTTATCCTTTATAACTGAGAGCTTTTTTTCATTTAATATTTATTAAAAGTCTGAATCAATAAGGTTTTAGCACTTCCATTCAGCTAAGGGAAGAGGAAAGATGCATACAAAGAGGTCATTTAACTAATACATTGAGTTTAGGTGATTAAATTACTGCAACTTGCTGCTTTTAAGTTACTGATTAGTTGAGATAACTGACTATTCCTAGATTCTTCAGACTTCTCTTCACCTATAGTTCCTAATCTTCCTAATCTTGAGTGGAGAACAGGGCTCAGTTTGTCTTGGTTTCCTGTTTTTAATTTGTTTCACTTTGTCCAAAGAAGCCTTTGGCATCTGCAGTCATATCTTATACAGAGAAGTCTTGATAGCTCACTTGCATTGTTCTCCCTCTTCTCTAGACATTATGGTACAAGAACTTGTTTACCATTCTGTGCCTTTTGTTTTTCAAGTCCGACCTTATTGTCTTGCGTTTTTCTGAAGCAGAGAAATTGGTGCTGGAGGTGTGTGGTAACTTAGCAGTTAAGAGCCCTGTACTGTGATAATCTAAAATTGTTTTCATGAGTGTTGTATCTGATAAGACCACCTGCGTCTAGAAGTTGCCTACAGCTAATGAGAAGGAAGAGGTATAGGGCAGGAACTAGATTCCTTCCTCAAATGAAGAAGCAAAGTGCAGTTATTTAATATGATAGCTTGTTACAATCTTTATTGCCATCTCAGAGGTTGCCTTCAGCTGAAAAAGGAAAGACTGTTTTCTTACACAGAAAGAAGGCTTTTCATGAGCATGCTCTCCTGCACAGACTTGCAGAACAGAGTTACTGGATTACAGCATAATTAGCTGCACTTACGGCTTTTGCTTTAGAAACTTCTGAGGCTTTCTGAAGTTGAAAGACTGCATACAAGAGTTCAGGCTTTTAAATACAAATTCTTACCCATGTTCAATTCAAAGTTTAGAAATAACCATAAGGTAAAACTTAATGCAATGGACTTTGGATTCAGTTCGACATGTCTTGAAACTGACCATGCTACTGGAAAAAGCAGTTCCCATTCTTGCTTCCTGAGTGGTGCTGGCAAAATACCTGGCCTGTTCAGCTAGAACAGAGAACGACCTAGCTGGAAATAGCTCCTTTTATCTGTGATATTTCTATGGGCATGCTGACTTGTGTGCCTGTAACAGGACACTGAGGAGACATCCAGTTTGATTTGGAGCAGAATGCTGGAAATCATTGTTTGAATAAATGCACTCTCAGCCTTTGTAAGGTTAAGCTTGCCTGAGAATGAACAATAGTGTTTTCTTGGCATTTTCATCCCTTCTTTAGCAAAAGCTAGAACATAAAACTATTATGGTTGAGGTACTGGCTGCATAACTTGCTGAACTTTGGCTGTATAATTTTGAAATAACTGCACACAGTTAAAAGCCATAAGAGTGTTTGGAAATAAATGCTTTCCTGTTGTATACAGTACTTATCAAATGTCAGTACTGAAAGTTTTATTTATATATATATATATATATA